CTCGAGCAGAGGGTTGCCTACCGGGCAGGGCGCCCGGCTGCGCCTGCCCCCCGCGTCGTGAGCAGCAACAGCCCGAGGCGAATTTAATTTAAAGGAGGGTGAAAAAAAAATATCGCGGCGCGTCGACGCGTTAGGCGAATTAGCACCATACGCGCTCACCGCCGCCGGGCAGAGGGGAAGGGGGGGGGGGGCAACTGGTCGCCTTGGCTCGGCTGTTAGCGACGATGGAAAACAAACGACTCGGTGTCTTCGACAGTGGGCTGGCTAAAGGATCCTCATCCAGTCAGACAGGCCACGCTCCCGACGGTTTTTTTAATCCTGTCTGACACGTTCGAGGAGGCGGGGAGTGTCCTTCCTTATCGATACTAGGGCAGATGGTATTTGCTGCTCCTATCGCTATCAGGGCCGCAAGATACGGAGGACTGACTGGACGAAAAATGTTTGGTGACAGAGAAAAAAGAAAATCCATGGACGCACGCGCGTGGTTTGTGGTATACGTGACCCCGAATCAAAACGAAAACGCGTTTGCGCCTGAAACGACCGCCGGCGGGAACATTCGAAACCTTATCAAAGGCGACAAACCAAATATAGTAATGAGAGAAAACATCTCGAATCGTGTTTCAGATGAAAATGAATTATGCCCTTCGGCAGAAACTGAGGAGAACGCCGCGCGCCACGCTGAATGGCCATGAGAAAAGGGCGCCGCCCAGGCCACCAGCCGCGGGGGACAACATTCGTACCGCAGCGACAGTGGGTGTGTAAGTGTGTGTTCCAGTTGAAACGTTCGATCAGCACTCACTCCAACCCTTTTGACCCACAGAGAAAAAGTACTTCAAGGTTGATCAACGTACGTAACGTGAAATGTAAATAGAGATGAGTGCCCCCTCCCCTCCATGAGCGCAAAACACGCACCTCCATATTACCAGAAGTGCCCCCCTCTCCGCAGGGCTGGCAGGGCACGGCTGTCCCTGCGAGCCGCCACCCCACATATATCACCGTCATCCAAGCTGCCCCTTCTCTGTGCGCAGTTGCTACCCGGTGCACGAAAATGATATGATGTAGTGGATCGTGGAAACGGCATTTCGCCCAGAAGTAATATTAAGCTGTCCTGAAAACTGCATGTGGGCAGGCAAACATTTGATTATTTAAAATGGGGTAGTAGTTTTGGTAGACAGGACCAAATCGAGCTGAGAAGATGTAGCATTAGAAAAAATACGCTAAATTGTACTATGAGAAAGCAAAGTTTACACAATGCGAAGAAGAGACTGGGCGTGTGTGCATGTGTAAACTAATCATTTTACTAGAAGCAATGCCAAACTTGACCACAACCAAATACATGCCAGCAGTAATTTTTAAAACGCTGGTCTTTAGTAATAAAAGTTCATAGGTGCGTGAAAAACACAAATAGCAATTAAATTATTTGTAATCAATCTAGCTAGAACACTAGAAAAATATATCATGCACACTGGCAGCATGGTGAAGGCATACAAAAGGAAAGAGAAAGGAGGGTTCCTGGTCCATCCAGCTGTGTACTTTGTCTGCAACAATTTTACAAGCTCAGGTGGCAACACTTTCATTTAAAAAGCACCTCTTCAAAATGAAAATTGATGGTAACAAGAACACAAACAAGACAAAACCAAGTATCTAAAATAGCTCCAACTTAAGGAGATTGAGGATAGAAGCTGTTAAGTCCATCTCTTACTCTTCTGACGGAAAATTCACATAGAAAATGGTGAGAACAGTTAAACATGTGAAAGAAAATAACAACCTAAGATTATACACATGCTGCACCCTTGCCTATAACAACAATTAATACACATGCAGCCTGTCATATATCTGTTCAGGGTACCTACAGAGTCAATCCTTAGGCCAGATATAGACTTGGATACGCCATGGGCTGCAAACAAGAACAACATTGTTCAAGATGAACAGCGATGACACAGTACTTAATTAGTGCATGGACAGCTACTTATTTTTTCCTGTTAATGGGTCAATTACATTCTGAAAACAAAGGAAGCAACATTCACTTGGTAGTCTTCCTTTCTCCTTTATAACAAACATCTCAGTTCAAGACCCTAAAAAAGCGTAATCTATTCTCACCCTCACAGCTTGTCTATGCACAACTAGATAACACCAAAAATATTTGTCAGTCTATGTCCATTAAATGTTCAATTGAACTATGAATCAAAGAAAAGCCAAATGAGAATAGCCAAAGGAACTAATGTCCTGTTGGATTCTCACTAAATTTTCATGTCATTTAAATTAATGTTAAAAACTGTGAACATGAAGATAATATTTGTCTAAAGCTAAACTTGAGAAGAAAATTCAAATTTGAAATGTAATTTAAGTTCAGAGAAACCACTGGAGAAGTGGCCAAATACTCAAAAAGGGTTAGAACATAAAACCAGTGTATGTTTCTAGGGTATTTGGCAAATACATGCACAACAAAATGCATGCTCACAAATTATTGGTCAAAAATCATTGCACAAATATCTCCATGCAAATTCCAAGCAATAAGTACATGAATCACACTATCTGACTATTTACTTTGTTAAGTTTATCAGTTGACAGAATTTAATGAACAATGATTATTGTTCAAAAGGTACCCTGTAGTAAATATTCAATTTATAATATAACCCCCCCCCCAAAAAAAAAAAAAAAAAAAAAAAAAAAAAAAAATTTTAAAAACAAAAAACCCCCCCCCAAAAAAAAAAAAAAAAAAAAAAAAAAAAAACTTCTTGAACCAATGTACACACCACGGGCTAAAACATATCAAAATCTCACTTCACGGCCAACATAAAGAATTTGTAAAATAAAAATTACAAATAGATGATGATAGTAATAAAATCAAAAATAAAATAAAATTGCGTAGCTCCAAATAGAACAAGAGCAGAAGATAGATGTTAACTGATGGAAAAATATGTTGGATTTGAGACATACAGGCAACACATTCACCGTGTATTTCATGAAAGAAGTGGTAAACACTTGTTCAGATAACCTCTCCGACTTTGACAGGTGCATAAATACCGTCCATACGAGCTACCCGATTCGCTTCTGAGGGAAAAGATATCCTTCTATATCACAAGCTTGACTTTGCAAAAAAGAATTGTCGATGTTCACTAGCCAACAGTGTTTTTCAGAACTTCAGGAAACGTTGACACCGGTAATATGGACAACAATATTCCTGGCGCTCAACCAGAAATGAATGAACGGTAGTATCATAAGAGTTGAATTTTCAGAATTACCTCGATTTCTTCTTTGACCTGCAAGGCCCCAGGATCCAGTCGCTTCCATGGGTCAACGGGATCTTGTCCAGACCCAGCCAGCGGCATAATCCACACTTGTTCAATCACAAATACTTCACGCTTCGCTCAAACATCCGTCCGTCCGCTTAAGCCCGTATCACACTGGCGCTGGCGGCGGCGCTGGCGTTGGCGTTGGCGCTGGCGGCGGCCGGCCCGACCAATCAGAGCTCAGCAGCGGGCGCT